CCCCGCCTGCTGCCCTACAAGCGCAGTATTATTTGCACTTTGCACTTTCTCTGTGTTTTAGTCGATACGCGCCATTCGCCGGACACCCTTCCTGCCCTGTGTGGTTTTCATTTCCCCACCGGACCGGCTCGAGAGTCTTCGTCTACTCACGGCGACCATTTTTACGCCCACCTTGTGCTCGGTAAGTTGCTTCTTCTCTCTCTCTCTCTCTCTCTCTCTCGTAATCGTTTTAGATTATTCATCATCAGACAAGCATAATAGTATAAAGAAGGGTAGAGTGAACAAACGTTTAAGCAACTAATAAACGGAAGGCAGGGACCAATGAGTCAGGCTCTGGCCATAACAAAAGCACAGAGGAAGGCGGGGGAGAGGCGAAGGGGGTCCGATAATCAGTTCATGTCACCCTGTCGTCACTATCTCGCACTGACCAGAATCTGACCCACTGATCGCAGAACATATCTCCTCCCTACTTAGCACCGATCGGTTGCTTACGTCACACATTGTTGTGGTAAATTTAGTTCAGTGACTCCTTTGGCTGGCAGTCTTACGTACCGGAACACCGCTCACACTCGCATTTGACAAAGAGATTGCATTCCCACTTACAGGGCGCCTGTGATAGAATCGCGCGATTTGCGTCTTCAATCAAGTCGATGCAACGCCCAGCTTAGTACTAGGTAGATTAAATTAGAGCCTTACGGATATTTAGCCTCCAGCAGTCCAGTGTTCCGTATATTTGTCCTGAACGATGTTATGCTTCCTGTTTGTCAGCCCTTGTTTGCTTGAATTGTCGCGATTCAACGAATACTGTGATCCAAGCAAATAGGCAATCGGATGATCTTCTGTCCCCCTTCCACCTTTCGCACTCACGCGGCTGGGGCTGTTTGACCGTAGGCTGTTTGCATATTATTGTGGAATGTTAAGGGTGTCCATTCAATTAATCCCTTTATTCCTAAACTGTGGAGTCATACCGTCTACTTTAATGAGTTTAGGCGAATGAGTTCCGTTAGCGATTGATGAATGTTCATCGATGAGTGTCAGTATCTGCCGATCGAAACGGGCAAGACAGTGAGCCCGTAGCCAAATGGTTAGAGCGTTAGACTTCTGTTACGACCCGCGTCTGGTACTTTTAATTAGCACGAACGGTTAGTTAGCCGACCGGTACCTAAGGCCCGTTCGAGAGAAGCAAGAGACCACGAGACAGCGTGTATTCACCAAAGCACGTTAGAGGCAGTCGTTCTCACACAAAAGCTGCATGCATTTAAGCGACCGAGAGAGAGAGAGAGAAAGACGGTCCTAGGCAATAAGCCGATCAGAATTGAAGAGAAACGCTGGCCGGCAGCCAGGTAGCTCGTGACGCCTTTGTGTGTGTTGATTCATCGTGGGGATAGCCGCATTCCCAACAACTTCCGACCAATAGGTCGCAGGTTCGAGCCTCGGAAACTGCACCACCTGAGGTTGTGCATGACTGGCTAATTACGGCTAATGCATCAACAGGCACACTGATTTGGATTCAATGTATACCAATCTGAAAAAAGCCTGTAAAAAGCGCCAACTGCCGAACCATGCTATTGACCATGTATGACGCAGCATTATCGATTTTTTGGAACGTTTAAAAATGCGCACTGCTCTGCACATATTTTCCTCAGGTCCGAAGACGACCTAGTGTGCCAGCGTCGAAAATGTACAAAAAAGTTTGTTCCTGTTTCCAAAAGAATCTTTTCTATCAAATTAAATTTCTTGGGATGCCTATCTTCAAAATAATTAGAAACCTCTTTCTAACCTAAATATCAAGTTTGAGTATCAACCTTAAGAAGTGATTGGCTGCCAAATCAGTACAAACAAGAATATGTTTACTTACTTTTCCCATAAAGTATGTTTGAATTTATATCGGCATCAAAAATAACCAGGAAAAATGCGTGCTACTTAAGTAGTCATTTTTATTGGGTTTGGTACGAGCACGCGATCGAACTGGCCGAAAAATCTTGGTCCTAAGGTTTACCGTAATCAATATGAAAATCTCACTTAGATAACGCCTTCTAATTGAAAACGCGCTTCAGAATTTTGCTTAACATCTACGTCGACTAATACGTCTTTTTGGGTCGAGTGAAATCCAGTAGCTCCTCCTTGATTCATTGTGAGACTGGAAGATTATATGACGTTTCATCTGTACCCAGGTTTTTGAAAGGAAGGAGTGCAATATATCTAACAAAGGAAATTTCTGACGGGGCCGATGTTAATAGGGGTTTTATGGGTGGAGTTAAATGAGGGAATGAACTACGCGACAGAAGGTGGATGTTAAAGGTTTTATTCTCGTAAATATTTTTCATTTTTTCAACCTTGAAAACAACCGGACTATTAAAATATATAGCTAAACAATGGCAATGTATGTACTTTATCGTCAAAACACCAATGAATAGCAAACCGACTAAGGAAATCATAGATCGTGTTTTGCTCACCGGAATGAATTTATTGGTTTGCTGACGTTTCGGACAGCTCGGCCGGCAGTCGTTTGTCGAACCGTAAACTGATTATATCGATCAGCAAATCTAAAGTTGTGGCTGTACGTGCTGGCCATCGGCTGATCGATTCAATAAATTCATTCCGGCGGGCAAAACATGATCTATGACTCTTATCCCGGAATTCTGACTTTTGCAATTTCGACTAAGGAAATGTTTATTTCAAAGGTACAGCGGACGCGTGATGCCATCTTAAGCAGTCCCATAGAAGAACCCAACGCGTTAGCGCAATTCCGTGTCAGAATTTGCGGGAGCGTGGGGGAAAGAAGATAATGGATCAGTCCGTAGTAGCCTAAACCAAACGAGCCGAACCGAAATCAAACGCCCCTACTTTTATATTATAAGCGAATAGTTATTCGTATTCCTTTTTATTTCGTATAAACTGAAAGGCAGGCATCCCAAGAAATGTAATTTCATGGAAAGGCATCCTTTTCTCATTTTCCAAAGGATGCCTTTCCATGAAATATTCCTTTTCAGTTCGGCATCCCACTTCTTTGTTGTTTACTTAAATCCTACTTTTCTCCGTTTCTTTTGCTTTCCAGGATGACGAACTTGCAGCCTGCATAGAAGAGAGCAAGAAAATAGAGATGCATTATGGCCACTTCTTCGACTTTGTTCTAGTTCCACAGGACTTCCAGTCGGGCCTGCAGGAGCTCCGCAAAATTGCCCTGAATCTGGATCGAAGGCCGCAGTGGGTTCCTGCTCACTGGATACCTCTCGCTATTGAGGTTGCCGCACAGGCAGCCGAGGAGGCCAAGCGTTCTTCCGCCAACAGCGCCTCTTAAAAAAATGATAACCTGCCTACTGAAATCATATCAGCAGATACTTTATTTTTCGCATGTTTTTTTCACTTGCTTTCGGCATTCTGTAAAGGTTGTCTTCCTCACTTACAAAGCACCAGATAACTCTTCTTGACACCAGCTATTAGTTACATCGCACGTATTTAATATAAGAAAAACGAAGAAACTGTAGGGCGTTTTGTTGGCTTCTTCTTATGCATACGCGGGAATGCATTTATTGGGGCCAGCTGTTCATCGGCCCAATTGCAACCCGGATTTACTTCTCACTGGTACTACTCTTCTGCCTAACTGATTTAGCAATTTTTCAACTTGGAAATTAGAAAATATGGGTGAAAACTGCCGCCTGCGAGAAAAAAGTCAGGCGTATTGTTGTGCCGCGTCTCGTTTACGCTTAGTTCCGAAGATCTGGTTGATATTTCCTCAATCTGGTGGTTCAAACGCGAATGACCGCTGTCTACAATGGGTGGTTTACTATCTCCTTTGCCGGGCACTAGATCAAAATACGTCATACCTACTGTGGTAAGGAACTATCGCGGGATCCCCACAGTGCACCCGAAGCGCAATACACTCCAATGCGGGCACTTGGCTAGTCGTCAACTGGATATAGAAATATTCGGGGAGACAGAGCCATCGCAGATTTCCGTCTAGAATGAGAATTTCTTGTGGGCATTTGAGCGCTTTGCACTTCGCGCACGTAAACTGGTAGGAGATAGAAGCTAGAAGTGCTTGAAAATATTAGCAGAGATGTTATACCGCCATTATCACACGGACTCTCCAGAACCTCCATTTATAATTGACCAATAGATAAAGGCCGACTATGAGCAGTCGTCTGTTAGTCGTCTGCCGCGTATAGAAATATTCGGGGAGAGAGAGCCATTGCAGAGTTCCGTCTGGAAGGTGGGAGTATCAGCTCTGTGCACGTCAGAAATTTAGATGGCTAGGAGATCGAAGCTAGGGGTGGTTCAAAAGGTTAGCAGAGATGTTATGCCGCCATTATCACACCGACTGTTCAGAGGGTCCATTTATAATTGACCAATAAATATAGGCCGACTATGAGGTGTCGTCTCTTAGTCGTTTGCCAGGGAGACAGAGCCATCGCAGATTTCCGTCTAGAATGCTGGAGTATCAGTTCTTTCCACGTCACCAATGTAGATGGCTGGGAGATAGAAGCTAGGGGTGCTTCAAAATGTTAGGAGAGATGTTATGCCGCCATTATCACAGCGACTGTCCGGAGCCTCCATTTATATTTGACCAATAGACATAGGCCGATTATGAATAGTCGTCTACTGGACATAGAAATATTCGGGGGACAGAGCCATCGCATATTTTAGTCTAGAATGTGAATTTTTCCTGAGAATTTCAGCGCTTTGCTCTCCGCCCATGTAAATTGGTAGGAGATAGAAGTTTGAAGTGCTTCAAAATGTTAGCAGAGATGTTATGCCGCGATTATCACACCGACTGTCCAGAGCCTTCATTTATATTTGACCAATAGACATAGGCCGACTATGGATAGTCGTCTGTTTGTCATCTACTGGACATCGAAGTATTCGGGGAGACAGAGCCATCGCAGATTTCCTTCTAGAATGCGGGAGTATCAGCACATTGCACGTCAGCCATGAAGATGGGTAGGAGATAGGAAGTGGGGGTGTTTCAAAATGTTAGCAGAGATGTAATGCCACGCTTATCACACCGACTGTCCAGAGACTCCATTTAAAATTGACCAATAGATATGGGCCGACTATGAATAGTCGTCTCTTAGTCGTATGCCGGCTATAGAAATAAACGGGGAGAGAGAGCAATCGCAGAT